AAGGACACAAACAGACAAATTCAAAAAGGCCACTGTTTATTTCTGTTGACATATTACACAGGGGTGTAAGCACAGGAGTTTATTTATTGGTTAAATTTGTTAGTTGCTTTTTTATTTTTTTAAGAAAGTCTCCAAGTGACTTGACAAGATATAATACCAACAGAGCAAATCAATTAAATGCCAAAAAAAAAAAAACAACCAAGCAAACATTTCAATGTACAATGCAAATGGACAATACTAAATTCCTAAAATGTTCATCCAACAACACAGTAAGGAGAAGTCCTGCTCTCTGAGAGGAAGGACAGGGAAATAAATTTACAAAATCAAAACTGCCCCAAGCACAGCAACTTTTGGTACTTAGGTACTTTTGGTACAACCAAATACCTCTTGCCTTCCTATCCAGCTCTTCTTCTAAGGAAAGAACAGAGGGTCCCAAGATGTTTTCCATCAGACCAGACTCAGAGCTGGTTTGATTCAGAATCCAGAATCCTGCACCTTCAGACTATGCCCCTTCTATATCTGGAAAGCACTTAGAGGTCTCAAGCCAGGTACACCCCCTGCTTTGTGGTGTCCATACTTTTTTCAAAGAGGGCCAGATTTGATGAAGTGAAGGGCCATGAGGGCTGACCGAAGGGCCGACCAAAGTCATTGAGGTTTTTTTAGGATTTTACCCCAGGAAATAAACTGCCACAGGGGCCAGATTAAACCGACCAGTGGGCCGGATTAGGCCCCCAAAACGGACTTTGGACATGCCTGGCAAGGATTAGGAAATGTATGACCATGATTTTTAAAAAATTAAAGTTGTTTTTAAAAATAATGGGTTCTTCCAAACTAAGGCCTGCTCAGAGTAGACCCACTAAAATCAATGAACCTAAGTTAGTCATGTCCACTAATTTCAGTGGTTCTACTCTGCCATAGAACTAACATTGCATACAACTTTTATCGTTATCTTCCTATTTGTATCCTATCCATCATCTGCTGAGCTCAAGACAACATATGTGGATGTGGGTTATTAATAGATAAGCTCTCAGAACAAGTGACCATATTTTATCTTCTTCATGGCATGGGAGGGTGTGTGAGAGAGAGAAGAGAAGAAGAGAGCAAGCCGCCATGGAGTAATGAGTTGGCTTGAGTAGTGGTTAACATGTTAGCCTTTGGCTAGTGAGGTCTCTGTTCACATCTCAGAATACCACCCCAAGAGGTTACATCAATGGTTCCCAAAGTGGGTGGTACCTCCCCCAAGAGTTGGTGGGATTTCCTAGGGGGATGCTAACAGGAGCAGTATGTATAAATGACTACCAAACTTTAAGAACTACTCTCACTGGGTCAAGTTAATCCAGTGGTTTTCAACCAGTGTGTTGTGGCACCCTGGGGTGCCTTGACTGATGGTCAGGAGTGCCGCGGACAACACTGGCCTCTGTCCCTCTTTCCTTCCCTCTGTCCTCTGATGCCCTCTCGCATCTCTGCCTCCCAAAGGCTTGCACAGCTGTTTGTCGCAGCAGCCCTGGCTACAATCTCCCCAGGAAAAGGCTGGCTCTGGGGCTGCTGGTTGCCAGGACCTGAGGCGGCTCAGAAACCGGGGGTGGGGGACTGTGGCGGCTGCCTGGAGGACCCCCGAGGAGAGGGGAGAGGAGGCTGAGGGAACACTCCACAAGGGAGGGGTGAGGGGCTGCCAGCTCTGCAGGCAAGGGGTGACATAAGGCAAGCAGGCAAGCAGGCCCCACAGGGGTGCCGTAGAAAGAATGTCGTTGGTCAAGGGAGCCATGGACTCAAAACGGTTGAGCTAATCAATTATGTTGACTTAATTAAACTAAGTAGTTTTAATTTGATTTTGAGAACAGTGGTACCTCAGGTTAAGAACTTAATTCGTTCTGGAGGTCCGTTCTTAACCTGAAACTGTTCTTAACCTGAGATACCACTTTAGCTAATGGGGCCTCCCGCTGCCACCACCACGCAGTTTCTGTTCTCATCCTGAAGCAAAGTTCTTAATCCAAGGTACTATTCCTGGGTTAGTGGAGTCTGCAACCTGAAGCGTCTGTAACCCGAGGTACCACTGAATTTGTGCAATTAATTGTTACTGTTTTGAATTTTATCGTGTTATTAACTTCCTCAGTGAGTTATGCAAACTGCTGTTCCAAATAATGCTTTTTATAGGGTGGAGTAGGCATCACTGGGGATGAGTTTGAGAACCGCTGGATTAAATCCTCACTCCTTCGATGGAGAAAAGTTCCAGATCTGCACTCCACTAGCCTTCACCTCCACTAGGCCACCAGCAAAAATAACCCAGCAAATTTCACGGCAGACTGGAGATTTGAACTCTGATCACCTTAGTCGAAGTCTCTAAACGCTATGCCACACCGACCCTCCTTGTGCTACTGTTGCTTTTCCTAGATTTGTGGCTCAGCTTGCAAACTGCTGCAAACAAATTAATTTAGATTTTACATGATTTGGATTTAAAGAGGTCACTTATCAGCCACTTGCTGGTGTGAATTAGAAGGGTGTTGTTTTTCCCCAAACCAACCAACCAACCTAAAACACTTCTCTCTGCAGTCCAAAATGTCCCAAGGATGAACTAACACAGTCACAGAACTCTCTGTATAAGGAACAAAGAATGATAGCTCATTAAAGGCTGGACTGTGCTCCCCCATCCATCGCTGTAGTGAGGAATTGCCCACACATTCATTACTCACCACAGAGGCATGCCTAACTGCTCACCTCTCTGCAATTCCTTGATTAAACCTTGCAAATCATGTCAGTTACTATGGTAATGATCTTCCTTGCCCCTTAAACAGTGCTTAGAGTCTTCCCCCATTTACGTTGTTTTTTGCCAAGGAGTAGTTGGTCAGAATGGACAATAAACACACCCAAACCAACCCCCTCCCTCAGTCTCTCAGGACAGTTCAACACCACTTGTGTCCCGCCCCCAAAAAACAACCTGTTTTTGTTTGATGAGCCAAGGCTGCAATCCTAAACACAAACTTACTGGTAATCATCTTTTTCTGCTTTTGGTTTTATTGTATGAAATTGATTTTCGTAATTTCACTGTGTACTATGTATACTTTTGTCATTATATTATATTATATTATATTATGACAGCCAATCCCGGCCACCTACAAGAAATAAAACACAATTAAAAACAGTGTCATAAAATAATAATTCCCAGCATTTTTTTTAATATGCTTTGGGTTTACTTTTGAAAGAAAAACAGGATAAACATTTCTGAATGGATGAATGGATGTATAAACAAATAAGCAAAAACAGTCCCCAGTGGACACAGTTGGACTTACTTCTGAGTAAACAGGCACAGGACTGCAAGACATGAGAAGTTCTTGAACCCAGTACAGAAGGAAATCTGATATTGTTGTTGTTGTTGTTCCCAAACCGCTGTCCTGTTTATTAAGAGAACAACAGCTTTCTCAGGATAAAGGCTCACTGCCGATACCAAGAAAATACTTCTCTTTTGTATGGGAGAAGATCAAAAACTCACTCAGGCAGAATCCTGGTTTGCTCTCAAGATTATTATGGCAACTAATGAAAGAAGCTGATTTCCTGCCTTAAACAATTAAGAAATCAGCTGCCTTTGGTTACCCCTAACAACTTACAGAGCCAAGGAGATTACTAAGCAAACAGCCTGCCCAACTTCAGACACCACAGCCAAGGGGAATGCTAGATATGACCTCAATTCCCAGGGAGTCACTTCCCCTGCAGTTTTAAGGGCTGCTGGGAATTTAAAGTTTAAAAGATCTTTAAAGATGGGTTTGGCTAATTGGGGTTCAATTCACACGCAGCATCACCTGCACCAGTCCATTTAGACTGGCCACAGTGTCCTGTCTTTCAGAGCAGTCCGTCCATCTGAAGGACTGCCCAGTTCAAGTCTGGCTTAAAGATAAAAGAGCCAGTAGGAGGGGCTTTGCAGCTGCCCACCCAGAGTTGGCACCTGGACAACAGACAGGTCACATGGCCACAGCCTTCGCCAATATGGTGAGATGTCCTGAGGCCGCGTATGCACTATACCTTTAAATCACATTCAAAGCACATTCTCTCCCTCAAATAATTCAGGGCACTGTGCATAGTTTGTTGAGGGTTGCTAGGAATTGTTAACTCTGTTGGGGGTACAATGTCCGGAACTATTTATGGGAAAATGTACTTTGAATGTGCTTTAAAGGTACTGTACAGTGTGTACGCAGCCATTATTTCTATTTAAATGATAGCGATTAGTTCTAAAGTTTGCAAGTTTTATGCAAATCTCTACCGTTTTTGGAGAGATGCATTTTATGCTTGGCAGTAACTTTTCTGTACAATTGTCCGTATAGTTAAAGCTATGGTTTTCCCAGTAGTGATGCATGGAAGTGAGAGCTGCATCATAGAGAAGGCTGATCGCCGAAGAATTGATGCTTTTGAATTATGGTGCTGGAGGAGAGTCCCATGGACTGTAAGAAGATCAAACCTCTCCATTCTGAAGGAAATCAGCCCTGAGTGCTCACTGGAAGGACAGATCCTGAAGCTGAGGCTCCAATACTTTGGCCACCTCATGAGAAGAGAAGACTCCCTGGAAAAGACCCTGAAGTTGGGAAAGATGGAGGGCACAAGGAGAAGGGGACGACAGAGGACGAGATGGTTGGACAGTGTTCTTGAAGCTACCAGCATGAGTCTGACCAAACTGCGGGAGGCAGTGGAAGACTGGAGTGCCTGGCGTGCTCTGGTCCATGGGGTCACGAAGAGTCGGACACGACTAAACGACTAAACAACAACAACTTTTCTGCTTCAGGTGTGCCATAAAGTGCCCTCTATGCTGGACTGATGGCTTGACCAGCACTCACCTGTGTTGTGAACGGGATGGACGCAAGAAATGGGCATCTGCAAATCAGCTAGTGCTCAAAGGCGTCAACAGAGTGGTGGGCAAAACATCAGTACTAATGCTCAGCATTTGTACAGCATGTTTGAATCACTACTTCACACATATTATTGAGACAGGGTACAGGGAACCCCAGAGTACAGACCTGTAAGGTTGGCCAATGCTATTCTCTAGTCACATGATGTGCAGCGAGACTGCAGACTGCAGACTTCAGGAGACCTGGGTTCAAATGTTGTATCAAACCTGTCGCTCGTCAGAAGACCTTGGACCAGTTGCTCTCTCTTAGTCATTGGGGTCATTGGGATTTAAACATTGGGGTGTGGGAAGCTCCATGCAAGAACAGCAAGATATAAATGTACAACGCAAATTTACTATATATTTTGGAAATGTTTTTTGTTTATTTGTAATGCGTTTGGACACCCCTTGAAATATCATAATCATATTTTGCATGGGAGTTTCTGAGACCATTGACCAATTTTTTTTGTCTGTGTTTGGATACAAGTGCATCCCATTTTGAACCAAGACAGGGTGCTGAACTTTTCAACACTGTACTGGTTTTATCCACTGATTTGAAAACTGAAATGGATTTTTGTTTGTTTGTTTCCTTAGCATTTCCTGAGCAGCAGCAGTACAAATCTGCTACACAATAATAATCCCACTTGCAATTTGATGTTGCCTGTGTTTTCTACATAATAAACCTGCTTGCCCACTTTCCCCACCTGCTCCTTTGGCCCATCTTAACTCTTTCTCTCCTCTGCATCTTCTTGGGAACATTTTCAGCATTGCACAGTTGTTTATTTAGCAAGCCTTTAGTGCTTTAGTGGATACCATTTGGAATGGATATTTACCTTCTTTCTCAAGTCCTGACTCAAGAGAAGAGTGGATCATTTTACCTTGTCTTTACTTTGGGTGTTCTGTCAGTTTGGGGCAAGACCAAAACTGATGTTTTCTCTCCCCCACTCCTCTAAATAGCTTCCTCCTCTAAATACCCTCCTCCTCTCCTGCCCCCACAAATGCACCGACTTTCAAATTTTGGTTTGACACATTCGACTTGACAACTTTTTTAACAACCAAAACCCTCTGCAAGCACTTTCAAAAAGGGCTACAGAATGCTGAGCAAGACTGAAGGGTGCATTTACTGTACTAGAGAAAGTTGTTACAACATCTGATGTGGATTCTTGATGTCACAAAGACCCTTGCTCCAGTTACTGGTAATTCCTATTGTCCGAAAAATGGGCGCCTGCATCTGTTAGCAGATGAAATGCAACTGCACCATTCTCAAAGGATTACATGGTGGAAATAATAATTCCCAAAGTGTTGCTTGCTTTGCTGTGTTATAGCACCCTTTCAGGCAGCAGTGAATGCTTTTTAGCCACTTGCTCACCAAGTCTGTGAATGTATGTCTTTCTGACTGTTATGACTGGATACAACAAGCCCGACATGGGAATGATCTGGTACAGATATGGCACTTACAGGAAAACTTCCACCTCACCTCAAAGCAACCAGCTTTGTTTCAATAATGGTAGTCCACTGCCACTCATTAAATGTATGGAAACCAGACTATGCCTACAGAAGGGATAATGAACAAGTGAAAGGGGCCATAGGCAATGGGGGCTGGTTGGTCCATTAGGTCTATTGGGGTGCTGCTCCACCAACCTCAGTCTCCTCTCAACTAGCCCACACTTATTAACTATTGGGGCTAATATTAGAACCTGGTATAACTAAAGTTTGGGATATTGCTCTTCTGGAGAAATTAACAGGCAAATTAAGAGTTACCAGGGGCCATTTCAGTTCACTTTTATTTCATTTGTAGGTAAAGAGGAACACGGTCTAGAACCCCCTCTTGCTTATGAGTGGATTTGGTCAAGGAGTTACATATAGCATAAACTTGATGTTGTGATTATGTGGCCACCTTGCAGCCCTCAGTATAACTTTCAAAACTACTATACACCTGTGGTTTTTGCGTTCTTACATATGCTTCACAATTTATTTTGTGTACAGATAAGGACGATTGCTGGTTTGACGATATCCTGGAGCTGAGAACTGTTTTGTAGATCCGAAAAGCTAATTAAAAATATACCGAAACCAGGTGATGCCTGCAGAAGGGATAGAGAACCAGCAGGAGGAGACCTCAACATGGAGGAGGAGGGTGGGACAAAACCAGAGTTAGCTGACTGCCTGTCATTGGCTCCGGCTCCACCTACCATTTGATCTCCCCAACCTTTGCCCAATCATTCTCATTGCTCAACATGAGCCGCTGGCCATAGGTCTGTGGTGGAACATCCGTTCCACATACAGAAGGCCGCAGGTTAAATCCTAGACATCTCCAGGTAGGGTGCCTGGAGCCTTGGGGAGCTGCTGCCTATCACGGTAAATTATACTGGTCTGACTTCCTAAGTTTCTAAGCCTCTGGTGTTCTCTAAGAAAGCCTATCCAGCCTCACTAGCCCAGGCATAGGCAAACTCCAGCCCTCCAGATGTTTGGGACTACAATTCCCATCATCCCTGACCACTGGTCCTGTTAGCTAGGGTATGATGGGAATTGTAGTCCCAAACATCTGGAGGGCCGGAGTTTGCCTATGCCTGCACTAGCCCCCGGAGAAGGGCAGACTTGTGACCCAGCAAGGGGAGCAGGCTGAGAGAAGCAGTGGTTGCCCGAGACTTGCAAAGCAAAGCGAAACCTTTCAAAGGCTGCCCTGCTTCGAACCCGGAGCAGATGCAAACAGACTGTCAGAAAATGATTGATCAACCTCGTGTGCAATTCACCCGACAGGGATCAGAAGGAGAAAAACTTCAGCGGAGCCACGTAATGTGAGTTAATGAAATCATATTTAACTAAGGGTGTGTATTTAGACTTGATCTTACCTTGGTGACTTAGCCATTAGTAGGAATTCATTGTTTACTTTCAGGATTCTTATCAGGACTTAGCCTGTATTTGCACGTGATTCCTCCTCCTCCTCCTCCTCCAGCTCCCACCACCCCCTGCAAGAAAAGAAAAAAGAGGGAGGGAAGGAAAGTATTGCTCAACATGCTGCATCTACTCTTGCTCAGAAATAAATGAAAACACAGCACGATCACGGCAGGCAGCTAAGCACAATTATCTAATCTGTTTAAAATGGTTATGATTTCTTTGCTGTTTGAAGCTGCTTCGTGGTTCCCTCCTTAGGAAAAGTGATAACAACCGTGGTCAAAGTGGAGCGTTAAGTTTGGCGAGTCCCCGCAAATGACACAGGGGCAAGGGAGGCAGGCTAGAAATTTAGAGGATGTTATGACTTATGCAGACCAATTTGTCTACCCTCTTGGGTTTTGCCCTTCATTTGGATCTCCTAGATTCTAATGGATCACAAAAAGGGCAAAATCACAGAGAACTGTACCCTTCAAAGGAGGTTTCGGGGCAAATTTATGCAACAGAGGTCTGCCTCTGGTGAGTGGAGATGGACAAATCTGTCACTTTTGGTTTCTCCTGAACTTCTTACTTCTTCCGATTTGAGTTTAACTGGCCACATTTCTGCATTAGTTTGTTTTTAAAAATTGTTAGTATTTTGATGTGAATTTCTCCCATTTTTCCCATTTCAATACACTTTGTATCCCATTTTCGCCAACTTGTATACTTTTATGAACACTTTTCCTCCAGTATATATGCTGCTGCTTTTCGTAGGCACATTTCGGTTGGGGAACCTGCATCAGAAAGTTTGGAGAAGTTTGCAAATTTCAAAGGGCATCTGAATTTCAATGCACACATTGTTTCTGGAGGTGTGAATTAGGTAGGTTTGCATTGAAATGTGAACTAAATCGAATTCTTCTCCTCTCTACCCCCCACCCTAATCCTTACTGGCTACTATCCAAGGTAGATTTATGCAGCCCCTGGGATCAGAGGCAATATGACAATGAAGACCAGTTACTAGGGAGCTGCAGGTGGAAAAGCTGTGGTCTTCAGGCGCTGCCTGTGGACTTTTCATAGACAATCATTTGACTGCTGAGTGAAATAGGGTAGGAGACTACGGGGCCCGTTGATCTGTCCCAGCAGGGTTCCTGTGGTCTTAAAACAAAAATTTTGAAATATTGGTGACTAAAGAGGCTTGGGGAAAATAGAAAAGTCTTCATCCAGTTCACCAGTCAAAGCTCCCTGGGGTATGAATTCCACCAGAGAGCCACCATCATGCTTGCGGTGTAGAGCAACCCCTAGTGGCAACCAGCACCAATCAGAGCAGCAGACTGCTGTCACATGGGTTAAAATATGGCCAACCAAAGGACACTATACCTTGGGCTCCCTCCATGGGGTTAGAGCAGCCTTTCTCAACCTGCGGGTCCCCAGATGTTGCTGAACTACAACTCCCATCACCCCTAGCTAGCAAGGCCAGAGCTCAGGGATGATGGGAGTTGTAGTCCAACAACATCTGGGGACCCACAGGTTGAGAACTGCTGGGTTAGAGAGTTGAATGGTTTTGTTATATATATAATTATAAGCGGTATACAAATTCTTTTAAATAAGCCCAGATAACATATTGTGCTTATTAACAGGGTTCTATATAGTTCCCTGACCGGGTTATAAAAATGCAAGTCTGCAGCCACATCCTTAGTCAAGGAAGGAAAACAGGGCAGGGGAAGTCTGAAGGTTCCCATGTTGTTAAGTGTAGGGGTAGCACATTTGTACACCCCCAAATCACAACACACAGGGCCTGAGCCTCGGAATGTGTGACTAGAATGATGGAGCCGTACTGGTCCACATAGGAACCAACTTCTAGGGCTAAGGTCCCTTTGGGGCCCCCAATAAAATATTTGAAGGGGCTGGGCCCTCCCAAAGTTGATGGTCCTTGCTATTCAAATGGAATGCATGCACCGTGTATTGTGATCGATTATGCAAGGCGGGATTTACCTGCCCCCCCCGCAAATATTTTATTCAAGTTGGCACCCTTGCTGGTAAAGTTAAAGGGACCCCTGACCATTAGGTCCAGTCGTGGCCGACTCTGGGGTTGCGGAGCTCATCTCGCTTTATTGGCAGAGGGAGCCGGCGTACAGCTTCCGGGTCATGTGGCCAGCATGACTAAGCCGCTTCTGGAGAACCAGAGCAGCGCACGGAAACGCCGTTTACCTTCCCGCCAGAGTGGTACCTATTTATCTACTTGCACTTTGACGTGCTTTCGAACTGCTAGGTTGGCAGGAGCAGGGACTGACCAACGGGAGCTCACCCCGTCACGGGGATTCGAACCGCCGACCTTCTGATCGGCAAGTTCTAGGCTCTGTGGTTTAACCCACAGCGCCACCCGCATCCCCTACCCTTGCTGGTACAGCAGCTGTTTTGAGTGCAGAAGCTTCAATCCCCAGCTTCTCCAGGTAGGGCTAGAAGGGACTCATGCCTTAAACCCTAGAGAGAGCTGCCAGTGTAGACAAGACTGAGTTATATGGACCAATGGTCTGATCCATCAGTATTAGGCACATTGCACAGAATTCCCCTCTGTTTTCTGCCTCACCCACCCAATCTCAAGCAGGATCTCGACGAAGAGCTGGAAATTCTGTGGAAATCCTGCTGGCAGCAGGGCTTTCGGACACAATTCTCATGGGTTTCATGTTGCCCGTCCTTTGTGCATGCTCAATTACACCTGAGTTTCATACTGAAGAGGCTCGCTCGTGAGTCTGCGGCTGGTCCCGAGAGAATAGTATGATCCTGTTTCTTTTGCCTGAAATGTCAGGGCAGTGTGTTCATAGTTCACGTCTCCTTTGCTAACAAACCTCTTGGATGTGGAGTCGTGCGCTGCACAAACGATACAAACAAGAGTCCACGATGATACACACAAACACAGAGGATAAAGGAAACTCAAACACAAAACACGAGGAAAAGAATCTTTTCTCTGCCAACAATGAACGGACGGCCTGACCTATGCAAGGGGACATGTGGAGGAAAACTCCAGCGGATGGCTTAGGAAAACGGACTCGACAGCAGAGTTTTGTTCATAACTTCTTGATTCTATCTCCTCCAAACACTTGAATTCTAAGCTTCATCCTCTTCAAGTTACTTTGAAATTCTGAGATGATTCTAGTTTTAGTAGATTAATCCAGCCAAAGGTATGTCTTTCAGATGTGACATATCTGGAATTCAGAATTTTATACACACACACACACACACACACACACACACAGTGGTACCTCGGGTTACAGACACTTCAGGTTACATACACTTCAGGTTACAGACTCCGCTAACTCAGAAATATTACCTCGGGTTAAGAACTTTGCTTCAGGATGAGAACAGAAATCGTGCTCCAGCGGCGCGACAGCAGCAGGAGGCCCCATTAGCTAAAGTGGTGCTTCAGGTTAAGAACAGTTTCAGGTTAAGAACAGACCTCCGGAATGAATTAAATACTTAACCTGAGGTACCGCTGTGTGTGTGTGTGTGTGTGTGTGTGTGTGTGTATTTAACTGCTTTAGGTTTGCTGGCATCTTTCCATCTTTCTGCATTTAGAGAGGCATCAAATATGAAAACTCGCAGGCTGTCCCCTATCAAAGACAACATATAGTGTGACATACCAAGTGTACTAAATACCATTGCATGTCATCTATCAATCAATGTCAAATAAATGGAATGATATATGTGTTTACTCAGAGGTAAACCCCATGGAGTGTAAAGGGACCAAATTTCCCAGTTGAGTGAGAATAGGGCAACAGCTTAAATGCTATGGTATGTTAGTTCTCAGCAAGCAGATGATAAACCATCAGCTTATGAAATAAAATCTAACTATAAAATATTCTGTGAGTGCCTGGCTAATATTTATTTCTTCATTTATTTCCCTTCCCTTCCTAACCCGATCGCTCATCCCAGTTGGGTTCCCAAGCTGGCTATTCTCTGAGTATTTGAACACACAGATGCTGTTGATCAGAATTCACAGAGGAGAACTTTGGGGAACAGATCTGCTTCACTTCAAGTTGAAATACTTGCATAATGGGGTGGTAGTCCACTGTGTTTTACTTAGAGTAGACCCACTGAAATGCATGTATGTGATTACTGCCACTTGACTGCGGAGGCAGAGCAGAGGCGTACTTACTGAATTCAAGGCATAGGCATAGGATTGCACTTATAGCTCTTATGGATCTTTCAGAATGATGTACACCAAACAGCAGCAGCAGAGAATAGAGCATACACTTCAGAACGATCGCGAAAACAAGGCAGAATGATGTTACCTGACAAAGAAAAAGATGAATATTGTCTTTAGGCAGACACGCCCTCGAGGGTGTTATCACTCATAAATCAGAAGATAAATCAAATGAATTGCATGTGCCAGAAGCTGTCAATCACTGCCAGCGAAAATTCTACTGTTACTTGCCAAGTGAAATTCAGAAAGCCAAGGCAGAGAAAAAGAGAGGGGGAAAGAAGGGGCGGATATTCATGCCACGATGCTGAACACAGCTTGCAGTTTGAACCGTTAGTGGTAATGCTCCTACTTCACCAGGGTTTGCCCTTGCTTAGTGGCAGTTCAGTATGCATTTTGTATTGTGTTTGTCTGCTTTTCTTGCTTGTTTTGAAAACTTTTTAATGGCTATTTTAATTGCACTGCTCACCCCTCGAAGGACATCAGTGTACAAATGTATTAAATTGAATGAAATGATCTGGAAGTTCACCTGTGCTGGGAAAGGGGGAGTGGCTCAGGAAGGCAGGTGTGTGAAGTGCCAGGCAAATCAATCAACCCCCATGTAATTGTCTTTTTTAAAGGGAAAATGTGAATAAATTGAGGTTCATCTCTTGGAGGTGGGCTCGCTGTGATAACTGGAAGTGCAACCCCCATTTTCTGAGGCATATTCTTTTATCAAATTGTGTTGGTTACAGACAGGTGAGGCTGCGTTAATTTTGCAGTGCGCTTTTCAAACTTGTACTGAGGTAATCTAGAGCCTGCTGTAAAAGCTGGATTCTGTGCACTGAATAAATTATGCAGATTAGATGATACTTGCCTATTCATCTTTCCTTTGCATAATGTATTCTGCTCTGGGCATCATGAAGAGATGGAACAATGACTTACAGAGCACGGAAACCTCACTTGAGTGATCCCAGAAATCCCAGAAGTCTTTTCAAGATGTGGACATTTTGACATGCCCACTAGAGGTACCACCTTGGGCTAAAGATGGGGTGTGCACACATATTAGTTAAAGCAGGGGTGCAGTAGGTTTTTCAGACCAGGGGCCTCATTCCTTTCTGAGCAGCCTCCCAGGGGCCACATGTGAGTGGTGGGCAGGGCCAAAGGAAAAGGGGAGGAGCAATTGGTGTAAATTTCACCTTTGCACAGTAGGCTAGTTTCTACCCGCACTCAGATGCCCCTCTCTATCCTCTACCCAGGCAAGAAAGAGTGCTAGGATGCATTCCAGCTAGGCAAAATATATATATATACAGGAGGGTGCAAAACAGGTTTGGTGAGATGATTAGCTTGGAGAAAGTGGGTGTGGCTAAGAAGGAGGTGTGGCCTGGGGAGAGTCGTGAGACCCAGATGGAGACGCCTGAAAGGTAGAATTTGGCACCTGGGCCTCAGGTCACACACCTATTTCTGCAGCCATGAGGGTTAGAAACCTATTTTCTAGAAACAAATTTATCCAGCGATAAATGCTGCACCTGCAGATTTCCTGTGGTTGCCAGTCCTGGCAAGAGCGGTTGTATGTCCCTACCATGTCCTGTCCGTGAACGTTCCTGCAAATGACCTCCGATTGCTCAGTGTCTACGGTTGAAACGCTGAGTCACTCACCCCATACAGGCCACTGGTCTCACCCATTCATCATGGCAAACTAGCACTAGAGATCTAACTTCAGCATCTATTTTATTTACACATGCCCCCCCCAATTTAGCCATCAAAGAGCCATTATCCGGGGCTAGTCAAACAAATTGTCAGGTCATTGATGTACCTGACTTTGTGGAACATCTGCGAATGTGTATTTGGGAAGAGATACAAGCGCCTTTAGGAGCATTTTGAAGTTAGCTGGCAAATCAGCTACCCCAGTCAAAAGATATCTCCCATTACAGATGATATAATGACTTTTGGTTTGCTTAAAGCCGAGGAAACATTGACACAGCGATTAAGAGGGGGGAGGGGGAATAAGTTGTGGAGGGGCAAGGGGGGGAGGAACAGAGAGAAAAAGAGAGAGAGAGAGAGAGGGAGAGAGAGAGAGAGAGAGTTAGAGAGTTACTTTATACCACCTGAATTCTGGTTGTTCCTGGGGCCTAGACCCTCGTCTTATTTGAGGAAAGATTAGCTTGACAAATTGGATAAACATTTTATGCATGACAGGACGCTGATGGAGAGCCCGTTCTGCAAGCACACCTGTTGGTAGTTTGCTTAGCGTGTGACCAAGGTGTTCAGCTAGCCCTAAGTCCTCCCATGTTGCTCTGTTTACTGTTGGACAGGTATGGGCAGATCTGAGCTCTAGGCCTTAGTAACAGTTGCTGCAATCTTTTGCCAGTGACTTTAAAAAAAAACAAAAAACACCTCATTTTTAAAAACTAGACTAGGCCACAGAAGTTTTCATTTAAGGAGGACTGCTGTCCAAGAAGCAGAGAAAATTGCAAAGACAATAATAATCATAATGCAATGACATTTGCCACCTCCCAGGGGACTGGGGGTTTGGCTACTCGCATGTATATTATCCTCCTGAGAAGACCTTTGGCGTTTGGCCATTCTGCTCAAGAGACACTTAACAAAAGAACGATTCCGTAATTAATTTATGGGATTCGCTGCCACAAGATGTGGCGATATCCACCAATTGAGACGGCTTTAAAAGGGGATTAAACAAGTAAAACGAGGAGTATAAAGCTATCCATGACTACCCCTCATGATGGCTCCAGAATTCGAAGCATTATACCTCTGAATACTTGGAATACACCAATGTGACAAGTCTGTTACCTTCATCTCTTCTCTGCGTACTTCCCAGAGGCATCTGATTGGCCACTGTGGGGAAAAGGATGCTGGACTAGGTGAACCACTGCATTGCTTGGATCCATCGGGAATCTTCTTATATTCTTACAAATTGGATGGAGTGCTTTCACTGACTTATTTGAGTGACTTTGATGCTGCTTTTTAAGGTCATATCCTTCCAAAGAAATGCTCTCCCTATGGAGTTTTGGTCGAGCCAACCAACTGTTTGGTTTAACATCTTGAGTTAAGGACCTTCCATGTTCACTCAAGCTCCAAAATGCTGGACAATTGCATCTGCCAATGGTCACACCCTTCACATATGCATTAATTAGACACTAATGATATGGGGACGCGGGTGGCGCTGTGGGTTAAACCACAGAGCCTAGGGCTTGCCGATCAGAAGGTTGGCGGTTTGAATCCCCGCCATGGGGTGAGCTCCTGTTGCTCGGTCCCTGCTCCTGCCAACCTAGCAGTTCGAAAGCACGTCAAAGAGCAAGTAGATAAATAGGAAGGTAAACGGCATTTCCGTGCACTGCTCTGGTTTGCCAGAAGTGGCTTAGTCATGCTGGCCACCTGACCCAGAAGCTGTACGCCGGCTCCCTCGGCCAGTAAAGCGAGATGAGCGCCGCAACCCCAGAGTCGGTCAGAACTGGACCTAATGGTCAGGGGCTCCTTTACCTTTACCTTAATAATATGATAGGATGTACTGTACCTAAGGATTAGGTACTTAGGATGTACCTAATTCTACCTTCCCTGCTACCTTGAAGCTGGACAGAAGTCAGTGTAAGAGTGGTGGACCTAAATCCCAGATTTTTCTATTCCCTGTCATACATACTTAGCTCCAGTCCGTGCAATTGAAGCTATTGTTTATTTACGTTAGCCCTAGTGATCAGAAAGTGCAAAAAGACTGCCCAGGCAAGAGCAGGAATGGGATGCTATCAAAGAGGTTCATCAGCTTTCAGAAGTAGTTGGCCTCTTACATCCTGGCCTCCGGGCATGATTAGGCACAGAGAGTTGTTCCTACAATGTAATCCCCCGACCTTGTGTTTCATTAGTTGAGTGTGCAGTCACTCAATATTCTGCTGGGGGGATTTAAATTTGACTGAATCATTTTACAGAGCTAGATTAGTTCTGCTTTTTAAGAAAAGGCGCTGATTTTGTTGTGCTTTTTTGAAATTGCTTTTAATATTTATGTGGGAAAGTTTCCTGCTTGCATTCCTGTCTCTTTGAAAGATGAGCACAACTCAATGGCAGGCACAATTTATATATTTAAATCTGGCAAACTCAAGTTGCCCATTTAGTATGAAATCTGGCCTATGCCATTGGTAGTCCAAATGTTTCACAGTGGGCCCGTATGGAAATATTCAGCTCATATGGAAATATTCAGCATGTCCTAGGAAATATTTCATGAATGGAGGGGAGGATCAAGTTGGTGTTGAGTTGTGCTCAGGGACTATTATGGACGAGTTAAGTAGTAAGAACTGCTGAATAAAACAGAGAAATGCAAATCTGCTGTCGAGTCCCAAAATTCATGATTAAAATTTAGCAGAGAGTAAAGCAACCTAGCAGAAAGCACGTCAAAGTGCAAGTAGAAAAATAGGTACGACTCTGGTGGGAAGGTAAACGGCGTTTCCGTGTGCTGCTCTGGTTCACCAGAAGCGGCTTAGTCATGCTGGCAACATGACCCGGAAGCTGTACGCCGGCTCCCTCGGCCAATAAAGCGAGATGAGCGCCGCAACCCCAGAGTCGGCCACGACTGGACCTAATGGTCAGGGGTCCCTTTACCCTTTATCTTTTTAAAGCCACCTTTCAATGCTAAATCCCCTTTCAGAAAATTATTTGAAAGCCTGCAATTTCCCTTCAAGACTATATCCATGTCCATCCTTATCAACATCCTGTGCTGTGAAATCCAGTCCTCAGATAATGAATGGGGGAAGTGCCAGCCATGTTGCACAAGGGGTAGACTTGTGATGAACACATGGCTGCTTGCCTTAAAAAAAAAAAAAAGTAGAGTAGACAGCATCCATAGAGGATATCACTCACCAAGAGGGGACAGCAATGTTTTGACAAGAAAAGGATTTATCAAGGGGGCAACCATGTGATAAGGTGGGAGCGGGGGTTGTTTTGTTCTTGTTCGTATTATGTACTTTGTGGTTTTATTCTGTGTTTTATCCTGTGAACAGCCGTGAGATCCTCAGATGAAGGGCTAAATAAATAAATAAAATAATTTTAAAAACAGTGGCATACTTTATGGATGGTGCTATAGAACTGCCCTCCAGCACTAGAGTCGTTTTTAAGATCTTGCCAGAGCAGTCTCATAAGTGAGCTCTGTTCAGTTCAGTGGCACAAACTCCCAAGTAAGCGGGGTATAGGACTGCAGACTCAACCATGGCTGCCCAGGCTACTGATCTGAAACAGTCCCACCAGAGAAGTTAACCTTATGATGGTAATTTCCCTGGCCTATCACCCAGGAAAGCTTCCGTGTGCAAACCACTGGTGAGATGATTCGTAGAATGAAATAAAGGAAATACCACACCCATCAGACACCTCAGAAGTAAGGTAGACGCAGCAGAGACCCTGCACCCCATCCTTGAGGAGCTCATCTATTTTCTCTCTCTCCCTTTCCCTAATTTTTGAATGCAATTTCTTATCTCATTAGTTGATGGAGAATGGTGAGATAAATTTTCAGGACGAATTTTCAACACGGCACTGTTCAAAATTGTACTGAGCGATTTTGCTGCTGTTATCAGAATTCTTCCTCCCCTTGAAATTCCTCAGATGTTCCACCTGAACAGGAATTGCTTGCATTCACCTCAAAATTTCGTTTCAGGTGCAATATGGCTGCGAGCAACTCTATGTCATACCTAGGCATGAAATGAACCACTGGAGTCCTCTGGCAAACCAAATCCGCACAATTAAATCTCAACCTGTGGGTTTGTGGCAAAAAGAAACTCACAAAAAGGCAAGGTTTCCATCCCACCTCCAGATAGAAACTCTCCTTTAAAGCACATGCCCTGAAAAAAACCGTTTAACCAAAGTTTGATGTAATCAACGAAATCACTTCACTTTTTAAAAAATTGTTTTTCTTGTGCGTAAGGCTGTGTCTTTCAAATAATCCACAAGCAAATAGCTCTATTCCGTAGATGAGAAATTATAAAAGACCATGTAATCAGCTGACAAAGGCACTGAAAACAACTCCAGAGGAAACGCTTAGCTGTTCTTACAAAGCTACAATGCTCTGTTCTGTTTTCTCCGCCTACTCTTTAAGTGTACACTCCTGACATTTCTTGCCTCACAACTGGACTTTATGAATGAGACCCGGGGGATGTTTTCTGGTAAAGAATCATAAAGGGAAGGAATTATAGTATTACTGAGGAGTGAGCTGGTTTTCCAGTTGCTACCCAGATCTGAATGAATAAGAAGAGCGTTGGTTTTCTCCCAGTGGCAACAAATGCATGAATCAGTTTTCTAACGCTGAATTGTTACAGAAAGCTTGGATGAGCCAGCCAGCTAAGCTGAAGGAGCTATCAACACCCAAAATAAATTGCAGTGTTATATTTAGTGACGCTTTGATGGTTTTTCTGAAGTCCTGTTACGTGCAGCTGAAGGTTTGGGAATTTCTCCAAAGTCTATAGCAGCTACTTCAGGCCCAACAATTGATCTGGGAAGATGACAAAATAGGCAGCCTTTAGTTTCCACTTCCAGGTTTGCCAAAGCGGCTGGAACAATCTGCCCTGGTCTATTTGTATTTATGTGAGTGCACATGAAGTTTTAAATGTCTCCCTTTTCATAACCATGTAGCTGCATAAAGCAAAATCACATTCTATTTTTTAAATATGTTTGTTCAAGTATAGCATTTTTATTTATTTTGAAAAATGTCTAAACTACATAATAAAAACAAACCCTTGCATCAATGTACATAAAACAAAATAAAATTACCCATAGCACAGATCAGAAAACAAGCATACGTAGCTAAATTATCCATGTGGATAGGCTTTGCTGAAATGAGAAACACTTTAAAGTAGGTATCTAAAGCAACATGGCAAGGGTGGGTTCTCTGGCGGTGTGAATACTTGAACAATATTCAAGCTTCAGCTGCCGCATTTATCACCATCTGATCTATAGCAGCCAGTATTTTATGATATTGTTAAATACTGACTGCTACATATGAGATGGCATCAAATGTTGAGTTTCTGACAGAAGAAGGGAATTCTGAATCAGCATCCAGCGGCTAGCACAATAGACTTTGTTTGTTTGTTTGTTTGTTTGTTTGTTTGTTTGTTTGTATGTTTGTTCATTCATAGCAACCAGTTAAAAGAGATTTGGGCTTTTCATGTTAAATTTCAGTTCAAAATTTCTGACATCAAAAATCTGGATTTCAAAATCTGGAAAATGCATCTGATTTTTAAGTTTGACCAAAAAAATTTAAATCATTCCAGCTACCCTCTGTTGTGTAAACCAGACCTCAGGGACCAATTTGAGTCACCCTTAATCTATTCTGTGTCGCTGTTTAAATGATGAATTTGGGAGGGGGGTTTGCCTAATTTGAATTCTACAGATTCTCAAAGAAAGGGGGGGTGGACCTTACCAAAGATTTCTTCTACAAATCTTCTCAACAGGGGACACCTTGGGGGAATTTGCCCAACACACAAAAGATCTCCCACAGTTAAGGAAATCATGCAAATTATTTCTTCTTTTTCACCTCTGTGTGCTGACCTTTTGACCCTCAAACAGAGCACATCTTTGCAAAGCTGCTCTTGTAGATTTACTTATGCTGACGTGTTGGTAAAGAGTGGCGATGAAAAAGAGAAAGGGGAGACAGGCACAAAATGCAGTGTGAACATATTCTTTCTGAAAAAGACGTGGGAAGACCTAGGAGAAGGTCTCGCACCCTACACAGGAATGGGTAATTTGCAGGCAAGTAGCCAGGAGTTGAAGGGACGCGGGTGGTGCTGTGGGTTAAACCACAGAGTCTAGGACTTGCCGATCAGAAGGTTGGCGGTTTGAATCCCCGTGACGGAGTGAGCTCCCATTGCTTGGTCCCTGCTCCCGCCAACCTAGCAGTTCAAAAGCACGTCAAAGTGCAAGTAGATAAATAGGGAAGGTAAACGGTGTTTCCATGCGCTGCTCTGGTTTGCCAGAAGCGGCTTAGTCATGCTGGCCACATGACCCGGAAGCTGTACGCCGGCTCCCTCGGCCAATAGAGCAAGATGAGCGCCGCAACCCCAGAGTCGGTCACGACTGGACCTAATGGTCAGGGGTCCCTTTACCTTTACCTAGCCAGGAGTTGAGAAGGATAGGGGATATTCTGTTCTGAGTAAAGGCCACTGTACAGTGAAACCGGAGAAGGAAGAGGGTTGTGCCGATTCCTGTGAGGATCACGTCTCCTGTGCTCAAACATGCTCAAACAGGGAAGGGCTGTAGCTTGGTGGTAGAACATCTGCTTTGCATGCAGAAGGTCCCAGGTTCAATCCTGAGCATCTCCAGGTAGGGCTGGGAGTTGTTGTTCTTGTTTAGTCATTTAGTCGTGTCCGACTCTTCGTGACCCCATGGGCCAGAGCACACCAGGCACTCCTGTCTTCCACCGCCTCCCGCAGTTTGGTCAAACTCATGCTGGTAGCTTCAAGAACACTGTCCAACCATCTCGTTGGGAGTTGTCCAACCATCTCACTGGGAGTTACTTACACCTGAAACCCTAGAGACAACCCTGCTGTCAGTCAGTGTAGACAATGGCCTGACTTGTGTAAGTCCTACATCGCTATGCCCTTAGGAGAATGGATCATACCCATCAAAGATGCTTTTATTGTCACCTGTGAAAACTCTCCCAGACTTGCAAACTGAAAGTGTTCCTAGCGCCATTGCTCTCTGGCTTTACAATAATCCCACAAACTTGCTGGATCACTTTGGCAGTGACGAAAGAGAGGGTAATAGGATCTGGGTTGGCCCTGGTGGTTTGATCAAGGCTTCTGCAGCTGCCGTTAGTGACTCACTCAAAGACTGTGCAGCAGTAACAAAGAGGAAAGGAAACTGAAGGGGAACTCTCCAAAAAGCAAGGAATATTTGGAAGGGCAGTTTTTATTCTAAAAAAATCAGGAGAAGTTCTCCTGCCATATCGCTGCCTTTGTGCCACCTTCCTCTGAAGTGCTATTCATCAACACTGTGTACACATGTAGGCGTGCATGTTTAGCCTGTTCCTAGTCCACAAATACCTGCCTTTGCACCTGGATGCCTTCAGAGAAGCAGGTGAACCCTTTCCAAACATTTGGCACAGAAATTAAGCTTATCGTGGATATCATCATGACCCTGAGTATGTGTTCAAACACTGAGGCTTTGGGTGTCTCCACAGTGATGTGCAACTCAGCATGCTGAGGAAGACCCAGCTGTAATAAGAACCAAGCAAAGCCCTGTCGTCGCAACGTGTTTAATGAAAATGGTCCCATGCCAAGTATAAGAAACGTAGGCTCTGAAGATGCAAGATGACCATTCCTTAAATCTGGCATGAATTAGGCATTGCAAGAATAAATCAATTGGCCTTCGGAATCCACGTTAACAGCCAAATCGGTGGTTAGAGAAGCAGAGCTGGACTGAGAAGACCTGGTGTCAAGTCCCTGCTCAAGTAGAAAATGCCAGGGCCAGCTCAATTATTGGGTAGAATAAATCAGTGCCTCAAGCAGTTGATTCTGGCACCCTTAAAGGTTCTCAGCTATTGAATTCAATTTATATATGTGTGTGTTGGAAGCCACCCAGAGTGGCTGGGGCAACCCAATCAGATGGGAGGTATTTAAATAATAAATGTTGTTGTTGTGTGTATACATGCACATGCACATACTCACAGGCACATTTGGGTGTGCATGCAGAGACAACTCAATATATATTTCATGCTTTAGGCAGACTGTTCAAATCTTCATATTGGTGATTTTGTTGTTGTTGTTTAGTCATTTAGTCGTGTCCGACTCTTTGTGACCCCCTGGACCAGAGCACGCCAGGCACTCCTGTCTTCCACTGCCTCCTGCAGTTTAGCCAAACTCATGTTCATAGCTTCGAGAACACTGTCCAACCATCTCGTCCTCTGTCGTCCCCTTCTCCTTGTGCCCTCCATCTTTCCCAACATCAGGGTCTTTTCCATGGAGTCCTCTTCTCTTGTTTAATATTGGTGATATTAAAACCCTATTCCAGGGATGTGGCCTCTCAAGCCTGGGGATGAAATGCGGCCCTTTGTGTCTCTCCACCTGGCCCTTGGAATGCTCCCCAAGCCACATGCCTCCATGGCCCTGTTAAGCAGCCCAAATGGTGTTGTCTGCCTGAAATTTCTCCTTGATCTCTAATAATGCCTCTTGCCTGCCTGGATGGAAGTTTTGGGGAGGGAGGGGGTGCATGGGCATGTGTAGAAACTAGCCTATACTACAAAAGTGAAATTTGCATTCATTGCTCCTCCCTTTTTTGCCTCTTGCCCCACTTGCCACTGGCTTGTGGGCCCTGGAAGACTGCTCAGAAGGAAATATGGACCCATTCAGTCACTCATTCCCTCCTCACATTACCACTGCTTACTGCCCCTGACCCACCTCTCGTTGCCCTCTCTGCTCTTCACACGTTAGAGAAGAGGAGGAGGAGTTTGGATTTGATATCCTGCCTTTCACTCCCCTTCAGGAGTCTCAAAGCGACTAACATTCTCCTTTCCCTTCCTCCCCCACAACAAACACTCTGTGAGGTGAGTGAGGCTAAGAGACTTCAGAGAAGTGTGACTAGCCCAAGGTCACCCAGCAGCTGCATGTGGAGGAGCAGGGAATCAAACCCGGTTCACCAGATTACGAGTCCACTGCTTTTAACCACTACACCAAACTGGCTCTGGAGCTCTGCTGCCTTCATGCCAATCGGTGTAGACAATATTGAGCAAGGTGGACCCACAGCCTGTTGCGGGACAGAGAACTTCCTGTGCTTGCACCAGTGTTCCAGTTCTGAAGTTGCTGTGACAGCTATACATTCATTCATTTAATGAAATTTATATGCCACAAGTTTGGAAGGGGGGGCACTCAGGGTGGTTCCTAAAGCAGCTTCATGTTCTTAAAGCATTAAAAATGTGTTTGGGTTCAATAAGAAAATACGTATTGTAGTATATATATTTCACATTTTCCCCAAATTTCCATTTATTTGTTTATTTGTTTCTGGGGGGGAAATGAGTTGGGTTTTTTGCTTGCATAGCTTCAGAATGCCTGGAAATTCTACCTCTCCAAGTTCTGAGGCTCGTCCCGGGTAGTCCACTACCCTCCCTAGTGCCAGGCTTGCGACTAGACTGGTTGGCAACTTCAGCCTATGATAACTCCAACAAAGCAGGGCAATGGGAGTGGTGGCCCAAAATATCTGGTTGAGGAAGGCTGGCCTATGAGGGTCCTTGATCAAGTCTTGGAGCCCCTTCTATGGGCACAATATCAATCAGTTGTGCTCAGATGTGGCATGTCTGAAGTCCATTTCACAAGGTTTTCACCCACCCAAAATTAGGCAGTGCGTTGTTATTTCATGCATTTAAATGCCTTGATTGCAGGAAAGCCTCTATGCGGTTTATGAGAAATATTAACATTATCGATAAAAAAAAAGTTCAAAACAATGAGGAGCATTTGGAAATCATTAAAATTAACAGCAAAAGAGATTGAAACAACGTCAACACCTACATTTGGCAAGGATAGCCTTGCCAAAGCAAAAATGTTTCAAGCAGACGCCAAAAAGAGTATATTGAAGGGGCCTGCCTGAACTCAGTAGGCAGGGAGTTCCGAATTTAGGGGCCATTTGAAGAAAAGATTGATTTTGTACAGCTGCAGAATTCACGGCTCCTGTAACAGGGCTATTTCCTCAGACCAAAGCAGTCAAGTGGGCGCATATGAAATTAGGCCAGGCATATCCAAAGTCCATCTCGGGGGCCTAATCTGGCCCTCTGGTCAATTTAATCTGGCCCCTGGCAGGATATGTCCTGGGGTAAAATCCTTTAAAAAGCTCAACAACTTTGGTCGGCCCTCACGCATGTTCACTTTATCAAATCTGGCCCTCTTTGAAAAAAGTTTGGGCACCCCTGAATTAGGCAATGTTTGCTCAGAAAATTGTCCCAATTACTCCCAATAAGTGTATGTACAGTTGCAGGTTTAGCATATTGAAATCATTCAAGTCACCCCGCAGGTATCTGTTTTTTAAAAATAATTTTTATTAGTGTTCGAAAAAGAATTCAAAGATTAATATCAGAAACCTTTAAAAACTAATCTAAAAAAAACTAATCTAAAGAAAAACACAGACCCAAAAGAAAAAGAAAAGAGAGAAGAAAAAGAAGAAGAAAAGAACCCTGCAGGTACCTCAAGGGAGTTCCCCTGCCTGCTCTTGCTCTCTTCTTGTGAATATAATTGTGGCCAGGTGGTACAAGTTCCTCAGAAATGGGTCGATCATTATATACCTCTCCAGAGTTCAAGTGTTGGGGGGGGGGATGGTAGCACCTGCAAGGGGTAGGAGATGAGCTGAAAGATTACACATCAAAAGTTGGGTGCCTTTCGTACAACAAATGGTTGGAATTATATGTAGTTATATGTCAAATGTGAAATGTTTTTTGTTTGGCTATCCTTTAGGAAAAGGGAGGGAGGAAGGGAGGAAGGAAGGAAGGAAGGAAGGAGAGATAAAGACACCTCCCTTACAGAAGTCAGGCTGGGATCAATAAAAAGCACTCATTTCTTTTTTTGTAACCAGCCTGTTCATATCTTGTTTAGTTTGAGGTCAGTGACCAGCGGCATCTGACCTACAGAAGTTAATTCTACAGAACAATAGGCAAGAGTTTCCGAGGCCTTATCCTATTACCTTTTGATACCAAATTAATTGTGTTTTTTCCACTCTCACAATGATTCCCTGACCCTCTCAGCTATGTGTGCTGCTGGCAAAGAATGGCAGATTAAATTTAAGTGAGGAGAGAGAGATCAGTTTTTCATCTGCTGGAGTTCCTTTATTATTAAAGGGATCTGGAAACCAGCTATTAATAGCAGGAATCTAGGCTTGAGCAATAGGCTCTGGCGCAGCTATCAGAATTCTAAGGATCTCCCGTCTATTTTAAAAATAAATGAACTTAAGTTTTGTCTGTGCTATAAACCTGAATTGGTCATGGCTTCTCCTGCCAGGGATCCTGGGGGCTGCAGTTCCATTTCACACATGCATAGTTGGGGTAGCAGGATTGATGTTAGGCCAAAGAGATCAGATCTCATGAAGGACTAAAGTGAGGGGAAGGAGAGAGAGGAGCAACGGAGGAGAGTTGAGCAAGATTTGGGCTCCACCTCTTCCTTGTTTAGTCTTTCATCATGTACTAAACTTTAGACTGGGCCTGTCTTTGTAGCTTTGGATAGCATCTAGCTTGATAAAACAATTTGTTTGTGCTTATGTTTTCATTGACATCCCATCTTGCCACCTGTCAGATCAGGATCTTCAAGCCAGCTTGCAGGAGAAGCACATCATGTCACACCAGTAG